AAGGATTGTATGCTATGTGCCTCTATTCAGACTTTTGAAATTTTGTACAGTTGCTGAAATTTGTACTTTTTCTGTTGATAGAGTGACATTGGCTTTGAATGGAGAGACCTACCTCTCTCAGTTTTCTGGTCGCTCCTTTAGGCAGACACCCGTATATTCCCCTACAGCTTTTACAGTTATTATCATAAATGTCACACAAAAATCTATCAAATTCCTCCCCATTCATGGCTATCAGAGAGCTGGAGGCAGGTTAAAGTGTGAGGCACACAAAAGCTCTTGAACCTGCCGCTGTGACCGTAATCTTCACCCCACAGCCATCATTTCACCCTCAAAATGTAGCTACGCTTGTCTTCTTTCTCAGAGCCTACAGATATACTGTATATTTTTGAAATGGAGCCCTTTGTTTCGGAGGAACGCCATCACGAGCTCAGTTTCATCCTTCCATCCTCTGCTGCTTGTCCTTTTCAGGGTCGTGGGGGGTGGAGCCTATCCCAGCTGTCATAGGGCGAGAGGCAGGGTACACCCTGGACTGGTCACCAGTCTAACACATAGACAACTATTCACGCCTGTGGGCGATTTAGAGTTTCAAATCAACCTGACCCCACTGACTACATGACTGTGGGCTGTGGGAGGAAGCTGGAGAGAACCCACATAAGCACGGGGAGCACAAACTCCCCACAGAAAGACCCCGGCCGGGTGGTGGAAGCGAACCGTGCTGCCCTGTAAGAAGTACATCTTTGATTATTGAATCCATTTACTTGTTTCTCTGTTTCAATATATATTTTCAAACAGAAATTCAATTCAAAACTGGTTTTTGAAACGAGTCCCAAACAGTTGATTGTGTTCATGTGGACGTGGTGTTCCTATCAGCTGCACAAAAACAGACTACGGCAAACCCTCAGGAAATTCAACATTGTTAAATCTTAAAAAAATAAAATAAAATAATGAAAAGTAATTTATATATGAAGCTAAAATTTAATAGCAATAAAATGTTCACCTTTGTGTGCATGTCAGAAACAGCTGAGCAGCAGGCTCGGCTGATGTGAGATGTCATGATCCTCGTCTGTGGATGTGGGAGTGTTTTTGTTTTCAGTGGTTACAGACACACTGACAGTTAGGCGAGTCATTTCATTCGATACAGTACTCTTAAGTGGCAGCCAACTTGGATCTTCTTTTAATACTCAGGGAGTTTTTGCTGTTCTTTATAACTATAGAATGTGCTGAGAGTGGGCAGTGAGACTATAATAAGTAATATAAATACTAGAACATGTACCAGTTTGCACTGAAGTGCAGACAGCTGCTTAATGTTTTCTTTATTCCAGCCCAGTTAATGTAGTCTGATGGTGCAGCTGGAATATGGCAGACACTTAGATTCACTCACTGTTTCACATACAGAAAGAAACCGTTTACCTTTGCTGCTTTATATAAAATGTTCGAAGCCTTATAAACTGCAAATAAAAGGAGAAGCTGTTGTTGGCTTACTCTGTACATCAGGGGTCCCCAACTCCAGGCCTCGAGGGCCGGTGTCCTGCAGGTTTTAGATCTCACCCTGGGCCAACACACCTGAATCACATGATTAGTTCATCACCAGGCCTCTGGAGAACTTTAAAACGTGTGGAGGAGGTCATTTAGCCATTTGAATCAGCTGTGATGGATCACAGACACATCTAAAAACTGCAGGCCCTCGAGGCCTGGAGTTGGGGACCCCTGCTGTACAAGAAGATGAGGCATTTTTAACTTGGTGCTGAATATCGCTGTGCTTAATGTGGAACCATTCCTGTGTACTCTGAGGACTAGGAAACTTCTGTGGCACCTCTGCTGAGGCATTTTTCATTACATGACCCAGAGTGGATAATCTCTTCAGTATTCCTACTGAGGAAATGTGAGAGAAAGTTACCATTTACATTTTTATGTACCACACCTTCTCCAACAGGAACCAAGGAAAATGACACATCTGCCTGTGTTTACAAATGTGAGCGCTACAGTACAGAGTTGCAGTTCATTTAACAGTAAATGCTTAGCAGACAAATTCTAAACTTAAAGTCAAACCACTATTTTTCAACTCATTGATGTGGAGGCTCTATGGAGAGCATCTCTGAGCAGTATCTCATTGATGACGATGAATGTGGTAAGGCGTCAGTGTTGTGCCTCGGTGTTGTGCACCATCTTCAGCTGGAGAGGTTCCTCCACTAAGCCCTTAAGCTTCTTAAGGCACACAGCTCCACTTAATTAGAGTAAATGAAAGACAGCACTTAAAATGTACGATTTTAGTGCAACAGTTTGGTTGGAATACTTCTGATTATTTTACAAAAGAGTTATCGTTATAACCGCCATATTTATTCCATCAGTTTGAAAGCCAACAGGCTTCTGTGGGTCTTGGCTCTGAACATGTAGTTTAAAGATTAAGTGAAGAGTTAGATCACAGAGCCAAAGCTTTGGCCTTCATTGGAGTTCATTGGTTCTCATTCATGAAATACTCTGATAGATGTATTTTAACCAGGTTTGATGTGAATATCTTTTTCTTCATTTGAAGAAAACCTGAGCAGTGTGACTCTGTTGTTCCAGTAGCACTTACACGTTCAAAAGAACGGTTTTGAACGTGGTTGGGTTGTTGAACTGCATAAGCAGCGCCATCACTGCTGAGGTGGGACGCAGTAAGACAGTCATTTGGAATTTCTTAAATGATCCTGAGGGTTATGGAATAAAAAAGTCAAGTGGAAGACCCAAAAGATGTCACCATTACTGAGCTGGAGGATCCAATTGGCTGCCCGTCGAGACACTGGACGATCCTCGACCCAAATTAAAACGTTGCTGGTGCCCACCGCAGCCCCATAACCATCAGATGGCATCTGAGACTGGAGGGTTATAAAAAACATAAAACGTCTTCAAAGGCCTCGTCTCCTTGAATGCCACAGAACTGACCGTTTGGACCAAACATGGGACGCTGAAAGGTGGAAGAACGTTTTATTGTAATGAGAACAAATGTAACCTTGATGGTCCTGATGGTTTCCAACATTACTGGCATGACAAGCAGATCCAACCTTTTCTGCGCTCCACAGTGGAGGGGGCGCCATAATGGTCTGGGGTCTTTTTCCTTCAGTGGAACAACAGAGCTTCAGGAGGTGCAGGGGCATCAAACGGCCGCTGGCTGTGTCCAGATGTTGCAGAGAGCATCCCTCATGACTGAGGGCCCTCGTCTGGGTTTTACAACAGAACAACGCTACAGTACACAATACCCGCAGGACAAGGGACTTCTTCCAGGAGAATAACATCACTCTTCTGGACTTCCTGCGTGTTCCCCTGATCTAAACCCAACTGAGAGCCTTTGGGGGTGAATGGCAAGGGAAGTTTACAAAAACGGACAGCAGTTCCAGGCAGTAGATCCCCTTCATGCGGCCATCTGTTCCCACTTGGAGAAATGTTCCCATCACCTCATGGAAACACATCAAGCATGCTGCAATACATTTTTGAAGTGATCAACAATAACGGTGGAGCTCCTCACGACTGAGCTCATGTTTGGATCTTTGATTTCTGTTTTAGGGGGTTTACGGGTTTTTTTTGGAGGTGTGGTCCTAAACTTATGATCAGCTGTAACAGCCTGTTTCAGTTTAAGCATTGTTTTCAATAAACTGCATGCTCAAAAAAAACGTTTTGTCTCACTCCCATTTCTTCTTGTTGCATGTTGAAGCTCTACTTGGAACCTTGTTAAGATCCAAACATGCAAAATAGGATTTTTTGCCATTTTTCAAATGGTCTTAAACTTTTGATGGGGACTGTATAAACCATCTGGAGCAGGGTTTGCAAACTCATTTTACATTGGAAGCATATCTAGCTGACTTTGATCATATGTGGGTCACACCAATGAAACTGCCCTTTCTGCCAGTGTTCAGAAGTTTAATGACACATTTAGTCCCTGAAATATCTTGTATACAAAATGAAGTGCTATTTTAACAGAAAGAAATCTGTCAGCACGACTCTTTGGCTATAGTTTTAAGAATTAAATGCGGAAAATGACAGAAACCTATGGCTTAATTACTTCTGTGTAGCATGAATGGCCATGCGGGAGGTCTTTATCAGTAGGAAAAGCTGTAAAACCTCTAAATTGCAGTTAAATTTTCTGTTTTCCTTCACATTTTCCAAAGCCATCCAGTCAGCGGGATTTAAGTCCTGCTGAACCGATTATGACCCCCGGGCCTTATGTTTGACACCCTGATCTTAGAGTGTCACACGCTGATTTGTGCCAATTTGTACTTTTATAGTTTTGAAAAGCAATTTATAGCAGACCCAACCAACAGACCATTGTGTCTACCATGCACAATCCCATGTCCTTGAGTTACGTGCAGAGATCACGAGCTTCTCTGTCTGAAACCGCAGCTCTGTATTTATAGCAGGGCTTCTTAGTGTCTTTCCTTGTTATTTAGAGATCAAGGTGTACCTGCTGCTTTGAGGCTGGACTAAGCTCTGGCTAATGTAGCGTAACCACACCCCTGAAACACTGCGAAACAGGAAGGATTGCTCTTTGCACTGTCTACGGTTATCTTGCTACAAGACTTTCTGTTAATGAAATCTGTGTGTGTAAAAGAAGAAAAGAAGGGGTGGAAGATCAAACAAAGACATTAACAAACACTAATTATGATCATGGACAAAGCAGAGGAGTTCAGGAGGGATCTTTGAAGATGTAGTACTGGGAAAGAGAAGAGCTTGGACACATGTATGTAAATGCTGGTGTTCGAAGTGTTAATGTATGTGAGCCACACCATGGGAGCTCTGCTGAGCTGGTTTGCTATTCGCGTTCGTGCTCTGATGCTGCACAGCGGTGGTGCACTGAAGAAATGGAGAGTAAGTGCAACCTTTGACCTTTAACAGAATGTAGTATGTGTGAGTGTGGACTAGCCTGATGCTTCAAACAGAAATGTTTTTACAAAGTAACAATGTGTAGCCAGATGGGCTACTCGCCTTCCGTTGTTTTTCTTCTCTCATTCTCTCTCTCGCTCGCTCGCTCTACCACCCTCGCTCTCTTTCCACTGCACTCGCTCCTTGTATCAGGTGATCGGGTTAATTGGGAACCCACCTGCACATTGATTGCAGGGTGGCGCTAGCCTGTATAAAGCTAAGCCGATGTCTTGTTGGATTAATTCCTCCCGAGCTTCTGGTACGATACAGCAGTAAATGCTGGCGTACTGCGACGGATTGATCAGCAAGAGCCGATTATACGACAGCTACAGGTATGCTCTCGCTTAACCTTGGATTCCCTCCGAATACTGGAATTGGTGTTAATATCCTTTTCCGGCCTGTTGTAGCGCAGCAGTCTGTTTAATTCTGCCATTGCGGAGAGAGGTGTTCGTGGTATCTCCACCAATGAGAGTATAGTGCCTCCGGTCCTGGGGTAAGCTGTTAGAACTACTTTTATTAGCATTCATAGCTATAAGAGTTTAAGGTTACACTTATCTGTTTCAGGGTTCACTGCTGTACTCACCTCTCCATGGTAAATTGTCCAACCTAAATTGGAAGAGTGGACTGCCTTCTCAGTTGCTGTTGTGAACTCCTCCTTGGTGGAGTCTGCTGTCTTGTCTCGTTTTGTCTTATCTTGTTTTATTAAGTAGGCTTACCTTTTTTTGGGTTCGCCTGGTGTTCTATTTTACCCTGGACTGTTGCTCGTACCCACACTTCTGTGATCGGGCTGAAGTGATTCTCTGCCCGAGTGTCGTGCTGGGACTCTAAATCGCCTGGGTGGCCGGTCTCAGCCGGTGGGGAGCCAGACCGGCCTACGCCTGAGAATAATTATTACCAGCACGAGTGGTAGTTTGACCCGTGGGGAATAAGCCTTTCCCGTGTGTGTGTGTGTGTGTGTGTGTGTGTGTGTGTGAGAGATTTCTTTTATTAAAGTGTGTTTTAGTCTTTTTATGATTTGTAGCGAGCCTGACGCTCAGTGTCCTTTTATTCTTTTAACATACTTTTCTGTGTTTTATTTCAGTGAAGGAGGACGAGCCAGTGGCCCTGGGACCTCAGGTGGTCTATCAGGTGTTGAGGGCACCCCAAGAGAACGGGGCTGTTTATACCATTGCCCCCGTGGGAGACTTGGAGAAGGTTCGACATGTCCATCGTGACATGTTAAAGGCACAGGTCAGCCTAGGGCCACCTACACCTGGTCCACCGGTTCCACCCCCACCTGTACCCGCTGACTCAGAGCAGACCTCTCTGAGTGACGACGAGTTGTGGCTCCTTGTCCCTGAGGTACCCTCACACCCTGTCGCACCTGTGGTGTCACCTCCCGATGCCTCTAGAGTTCCATCGGTGGAGCTCAGGTCTACTCCCAGTGTGATTGTAGCACCCTCGACCTCTGCTCCCCCAGGTTCTTCCTCAGGCTCTGTTGAACAGTCTGAGGTGAGTGGGCCACATTTGCGGAGAACAGCACGTTCAACAGCTGGTCATCACTCAAATGTTTATCACTTGCCACGTCCTGTTGAATCTGCGTCAGTTGCTAATGCTCAGCTTGCCATATTCAGGCCATGGTGTTAGGTTCCTTGAGTTATTGTCGGGGCGCCAATACAAAAACAGGGGGTAGATGTAGCCAGATGGGCTACTCGCCTTCCGTTGTTTTTCTTCTCTCATTCTCTCTCTCGCTCGCTCGCTCTACCACCCTCGCTCTCTTTCCACTGCACTCGCTCCTTGTATCAGGTGATCGGGTTAATTGGGAACCCACCTGCACATTGATTGCAGGGTGGCGCTAGCCTGTATAAAGCTAAGCCGATGTCTTGTTGGATTAATTCCTCCCGAGCTTCTGGTACGATACAGCAGTAAATGCTGGCGTACTGCGACGGATTGATCAGCAAGAGCCGATTATACGACAGCTACAGGTATGCTCTCGCTTAACCTTGGATTCCCTCCGAATACTGGAATTGGTGTTAATATCCTTTTCCGGCCTGTTGTAGCGCAGCAGTCTGTTTAATTCTGCCATTGCGGAGAGAGGTGTTCGTGGTATCTCCACCAATGAGAGTATAGTGCCTCCGGTCCTGGGGTAAGCTGTTAGAACTACTTTTATTAGCATTCATAGCTATAAGAGTTTAAGGTTACACTTATCTGTTTCAGGGTTCACTGCTGTACTCACCTCTCCATGGTAAATTGTCCAACCTAAATTGGAAGAGTGGACTGCCTTCTCAGTTGCTGTTGTGAACTCCTCCTTGGTGGAGTCTGCTGTCTTGTCTCGTTTTGTCTTATCTTGTTTTATTAAGTAGGCTTACCTTTTTTTGGGTTCGCCTGGTGTTCTATTTTACCCTGGACTGTTGCTCGTACCCACACTTCTGTGATCGGGCTGAAGTGATTCTCTGCCCGAGTGTCGTGCTGGGACTCTAAATCGCCTGGGTGGCCGGTCTCAGCCGGTGGGGAGCCAGACCGGCCTACGCCTGAGAATAATTATTACCAGCACGAGTGGTAGTTTGACCCGTGGGGAATAAGCCTTTCCCGTGTGTGTGTGTGTGTGAGATTTCTTTTATTAAAGTGTGTTTTAGTCTTTTTATGATTTGTAGCGAGCCTGACGCTCAGTGTCCTTTTATTCTTTTAACATACTTTTCTGTGTTTTATTTCAGTGAAGGAGGACGAGCCAGTGGCCCTGGGACCTCAGGTGGTGGGTCGTTTTCACACTTTCTTTTGTACAGCACTGGGTGGTCTGCAGTGATTCTTTTGGTGTGATTTTCTTTTGGTTCCACGGCTGCTGGTAAGTCCAAGTTCCACGATTGTTTATTTTTACTGTAGGACACTGTCAATAATGACGCTCTAAAACAAATAGAGCCTTCAAACAGGTGAACTAGACTCGTTGCAAAAAAATAAAACAATTTACAAAACCAAACATCTACCTCAAACGTGCATCCTGTCGACAACGCCAAGTATGTGACCAAGTGGTCGGCGGGGTTATGCACAAAATAAATAAACTTGACAACGCCACCTAGGGGAATTACACCCCCAGGAAATATATTTAAGAAAAATAAATAAAAGGAATAAAAGAAGACCGCACAGATTCAAGGATGCACACTGAGGCAGGTTGGCTTCCAATATTAAAACAGTTTTATTTATAGAAATAAATAAAATATTATAAATAATATTTTATAAATAAAATATTAAAAGTCAAGATGTAGCGTCATTATTGACAGTGTCCTACAGTAAAAATAAACAATCGTGGAACTTGGACTTACCAGCAGCCGTGGAACCAAAAGAAAATCACACCAAAAGAATCACTGCAGACCACCCAGTGCTGTACAAAAGAAAGTGTGAAAACGACCCACCACCTGAGGTCCCAGGGCCACTGGCTCGTCCTCCTTCACTGAAATAAAACACAGAAAAGTATGTTAAAAGAATAAAAGGACACTGAGCGTCAGGCTCGCTACAAATCATAAAAAGACTAAAACACACTTTAATAAGAGAAATCACACACACACACACACACACACACGGGAAGGCTTAGACCCCACGGGTCAAACTACCACTCGTGCTGGTAGTAATTATTCTCAGGCGTAGGCCGGTCTGGCTCCCCACCGGCTGAGACCGGCCACCCAGGCGATTTAGAGTCCCAGCACGACACTCGGGCAGAGAATCACTTCAGCCCGATCACAGAAGTGTGGGTACGAGCAACAGTCCAGGGTAAAATAGAACACCAGGCGAACCCAAAAAAAGGTAAGCCTACTTAATAAAAACAAGATAAGACAAAACAAGACAAGACAGCAGACTCCACCAAGGAAGAGTTCACAACAGCAACTGAGAAGGCAGTCCACTCTTCCAATTTAGGTTGGAAAATTTACCATGGAGAGGTGAGTACAGCAGTGAACCCTGAAACAGATAAGTGTAACCTTAAACTCTTATAGCTATGAATGCTAATAAAAGTAGTTCTAACAGCTTACCCCAGGACCGGAGGCACTATACTCTCATTGGTGGAGATACCACGAACACCTCTCTCCGCAATGGCAGAATTAAACGGACTGCTGCGCTACAACAGGCCGGAAAAGGATATTAACACCAATTCCAGTATTCGGAGGGAATCCAAGGTTAAGCGAGAGCATACCTGTAGCTGTCGTATAATCGGCTCTTGCTGATCAGTCCGTCGCAGTACGCCAGCATTTACGGCTGTATCGTACCAGAAGCTCGGGAGGAATTAATCCAACAAGACATCGGCTTAGCTTTATACAGGCTAGCGCCACCCTGCAATCAATGTGCAGGTGGGTTCCCAATTAACCCGATCACCTGATACAAGGAGCGAGTGCAGTGGAAAGAGAGCGAGGGTGGTAGAGCGAGCGAGAGAGAGAGAGAATGAGAGAAGAAAAACAACAGAAGGCGAGTAGCCCATCTGGCTACATCTACCCCCCTTTTTTTGTATTGGCGCCCCGACAATAACTCAAGGAACCTAACACCATGGCCTGAATATGGCAAGCTGAGCATTAGCAACTGACGCAGATTCAACAGGACGTGGCAAGTGATAAACATTTGAGTGATGACCAGCTGTTGAACGTGCTGTTCTCCGCAAATGTGGCCCACTCACCTCAGACTGTTCAACAGAGCCTGAGGAAGAACCTGGGGGAGCAGAGGTCGAGGGTGCTACAATCATACTGGGAGTAGACCTGAGCTCCACCGATGGAACTCTAGAGGCATCGGGAGGTGACACCACAGGTGCGACAGGGTGTGAGGGTACCTCAGGGACAAGGAGCCACAACTCGTCGTCACTCAGAGAGGTCTGCTCTGAGTCAGCGGGTACAGGTGGGGGTGGAACCGGTGGACCAGGTGTAGGTGGCCCTAGGCTGACCTGTGCCTTTAACATGTCACGATGGACATGTCGAACCTTCTCCAAGTCTCCCACGGGGGCAATGGTATAAACAGCCCCGTTCTCTTGGGGTGCCCTCAACACCTGATAGACCACAGAGCTCCAAAGGTCCTGGATCTTGTGCCGGCCCCGGGTGCTATGATCTCGAAGATACACCAGCTGACCGACCTTTAAAGGAACAGGGTGGACTCTCTGGTCATGCCGTTCCTTACGGCGGTCAGCGGCCAGCGACAACCGTGCCCGAGCTCCCTCAAAAGCCACCATTAACCTGGCTTGGTGCTCGGCCACCCAGTCCTGTACCTCTCCAGGCACTGGGTCCTGAACGCGGCCTAGAAGGAAATCAATAGGCAGCCTAGGATCCCTGCCAAACATCAAGAGAAACGGTGACTCTCCGGTGCCCTGATGTGGCGTGCTATTATAGCAAAAGAGCACATGCGGTAAGCATGCAGCCCAGTCGCGTTTCTGAGATGATGGCAGAGTCCGAAGGAGGTTATGGAGGGTTCGGTTAAACCGTTCGCACTGCCCATTACCCGCTGGGTGGTAAGGGGTTGTACGGGACTTGGCTACCCGATACAATTCGCATAACTGTTGCATCACCAAACTCTCAAAATTTCTACCCTGGTCAGAGTGGAGGCGGCTTGGAACGCCAAACTTAAAAAACCACTCTGTTAACAGGGCCTGGGCCACAGTAGAGGCCCGCTGGTCCCGGGTAGGGACTGCAACAGTGTATTTGCTAAAAACGTCAGTCATAACCAAAACGTTTTCAACTCCACTACGGGAAGGTTCCAACACCGTGAAGTCTATGGCCAGGATTTCATTTGGCCTAGACGCCAACAGGTGACCCATATAACTATGAGGCCCCAACCCTGAGTCCTTTGCGACCTGACAGCGTTCACAACGCTGAACCCATTGCTTGATGTCAGAGGACATCCCGGGCCAATAGCAACGCTGCCTGACCAGTTCAGTGGTGCGCTCAATACCTTGGTGCCCATGGTCCTGGTGCAGCTGCCTCAAGGTCTCAGGCTTCAGAGCCTCTGGGAGAACAAGTTGGAGGGCTTCCTCACCTCCACCTGGACGCAAAATACGGCGATAAAGGATGCCATCCTTCTCCACCAGACGATCCCACTGACGCAGCAGAACCATGACTGGTTTGGGGAGCTGATTCCTTTCCTCCGAAGAGGGCAGGGTGTGCCTCCTCCAGTGTACCAAGAAATCCTTGAGGAGGGGTCAGCCTCCTGCAAAGCACGAATATCCTCCAGGGAGTGAGATGGAAAGGCCCCAATCTCCAACTGAGTAACGGAGGGCAAAACGGCTGGACACTGAGCCTGCCGAAGTGAAGTCGGGACACAAGTCCCAGGCAACACACCCTCGGCCAAGCTGGAGCTCGTCTCATACTGTCGAGAGAGAGCATCAGCATTCCTATTACTGCGGCCTGAGCGATACTTGATCTCAAAATCGAATGCCGCCAGCTGGGAGGCCCACCTCTGCTCGGTGGCACCCAGCTTAGCTGAAGAGAGATAACTGAGTGGATTGTTATCGGTGTAAACCACACACTTCTGCCCCAGCAGGTACTCCCGGAACTTCTCGGCCATGGCCCACTTGAGTGCAAGAAACTCCAGCTTCATGGAGCTGTAATTGTCCATATTGCGCTCATGTGGCCGAAGACCTCGACTAGCATAAGCCACTGGCCTAACGACACCTTCTACATCTTGGGAGAGAACTGCACCTAAACCACTGTGGCTGGCGTCAATCTCCAAGATAAATGGGCGCGTAAAGTCAGCATATGCTAGCACAGGTGCAGACACAAGCTTTGCTTTCAGGGCCTCAAAGCTCTCCTCACACTGAGGGGTCCAAATAGCACTCAAACTCTGTCCCGAGCCCTTCTTTGTCTTTGTGCCAGCCGATTTAGCCACCACTTGATGCAGGGGAGCCGCCAATGCGGCAAACCCCTCCACAAAGCGCCGGTAATAGCTGGCGAAACCCAAAAAGGATCGCAACTCTGACACGGAACGAGGACACTGCCATTTGGCTACTGCGTCAACCTTGGCTGGATCGGTCGAGACACCCTCACAGGAGATTACATGGCCCAAGTAGTTAACCTTCTGCTGGAAAAAGGCACACTTTTCTAACTTAGCCTTGAGCCCCTGTTGCTGCAGCCTTGCCATCACCATCTCTAGCCGTTGCAGGTGCTGAGAGACAGACGAGGAGAACACAATGATGTCGTCTAGGTACAGCAGTAATGACTGGCACTGCTGATCCCCGAACATCCTCTGCATTAGGCGCTGAAAGGTACCAGGAGCATTGCACAGCCCGAATGGCATACGATTCCACTCGAACAGGCCAAACGGCGTGCAAAAAGCGGTCTTGGGCTTATCCTGCTCAGAAACTGGCACCTGGTTGTACCCGCTGGCCAGGTCGATGGTAGAAAACCAGCGTGCGCCAGCTAGGGCATCCAGACTTTCCTCGATGCGAGGTAAGGGAAGGCGTCCTTCCTTGTTTTGCTATTCAGCAAACGATAGTCAACGCACAGCCGGAGGCTTCCATCCTTCTTGCGGACCAACACGATGGGAGAGGCATAAGGGCTGCTACTTTCCCTAATTACCTGGGCCTCCAGTAGCTGGTTGATATGAGCCCTGACAGCCTCATAATCAGAAGGAGGAATTCGCCTGTACCTCTGCCGGACAGGTGCGTCATCGAGTAGCGGTATGTCGTGCGAAATGAGGTTTGTGCAGCCCAAGTCTCCCTCATAAGTGGAGAAAACAGAGCGGTACTTCCGCAAAAGTAACCGTACCTCGTGTTGCTCTGACTCAGCGAGAGCAGACAGGTCAATCGTGTCCACCATCTCTTGAGCAGGGCTGCTGGTTGTATGGGAGGAAACGGTAACGGGAAAAGAGTGTTCCTCGCTAACACCGGCAGGGAGGCTAACAACAGTAGCTTTGCTTATCACTCCCAAACGGGTCCGCGGGTGGAGAACAGCTTCCGCTGTCCCTACATTGGTGACTGGGATGTAGGCAACGCCCTTATCCACCTGAACCAAACATGGAGAGGCCAGCAACCCAACTGGCAACCCGGACTCAGAAGGTTCAAAAAGCACAGCCTGACCTGACAACTGCTGAGAACAAGTAGTGGCCACCAGCTGCATAACACCACCAGGTATCCGCACGGCCCGCGGGCCCTGTACCTTAACGGTACCGACAGGGTCCTCTGGGGCTTGGGCTGCAGACTGGTGACACTGATGTAAGGCCTCCAAAACTGGTCTCGGTGCCTGTGACACAGAAGGAGAATTAAACAAGGAGCCACCGAAAGCCCCAAACAGTTCTTGATAACAGCGGCGGATTACGTTCATTCCTAAGATGCCAGGGACAGAGGGCGTAGCCCCAGGAGGGTCCTTCACTATAAGGATTCCACAAGAGGGCATTTCCTTGCCACACAGGAGTACACTGAGCTCCAAATAGCCAATGTAAGGGATGGCAAGCCCATTGGCAGCCCGAAGCTGTAGCCAATGACATGACTGAAGGCGTTCTTGTCCCCAAGGGGCAAAATGTGCCAAAAGAAACTTTCTGTGATGGTGGAAACCATGGACCCAGTATCCACCAAACAAGGGACAGTTACCCCACTAATAAGCACATCCATCTTTGGACACGATGAAATTAGCCTGCCAATCCTATCTTTCTGTGAGCCAGTGAACTCCCCACCTGAACTGTGACTCTGCAGCACAGATGGCGTTAGTTTTCCGACTGGGTAGCGGGAAGATGATTGCCAACTGCGGCATAAGGAGGACCTGAATCAGAACCTGCTCTAGGGCGGCGTGAAGCCCGCTCCCCAGTGCACTCCCTAGCAAAGTGTCCTGGCTGCTGACACCGGCGACAAATCACCGAGCCAGCCCGTGAAGGCCGAACACTTCTTCGGGGTTCTGTAAAGAAGCCACTGTCTCAGTGAGCCGATTTAACTGCTCTTGTTGGCGCTTTAGGAGTTCCTTTAGCTCACGCCACTCTGACTCGGGTGTACCAACAGGAGCGAACCTAGGGCTAGTGTGCACTCCACACTGAAAACCATATGCCGATGGTTGAGAATAGCCACGGTCGCGAACACCGCCTGAAAACCCTTCTCTTTCCCATCTAATTGCTTCCCCGCGCACCTCTAACAAGGTGGCAGTGGGCACACGGCGAACGTATTGTTTAAGCTCTCTGCGGAGACCACTATCAACAACATGTTCTACAAATTGGTCTCGGAGCAGCACCTCTGCGTTACGCATACCATCAGGTGCACTTTGTTTTACTTGCTCCATCAGAGCCATTAGCGCTAAGGAAAACTCCTGCAAAGTCTCTTCCTCCCGTTGTCTCCTCGAAAAGAAAGCCTGCTGCAGAGTGACATAGGACTGCGCATTGCCATACAGTTCCTTTAAAATGGTCAACACCCGAGCAGGATCCCCTCGCTCTAAATTAGGGCGAAATTTGATCTCCTCCCTTGCTTCTCCCTCTAAATGGTCAAAAATAAAGAAAGCTTGATCAGCAACAGACAGGTGCCGGGCACACATGCATGCTTGAACCTCTTCGACCCATTCAGCTATATTGATGCCTGTTCTACCATTGAACATGGGACATTTACGGTCCCTAGGCACCACCACCAGACGCTCTGTAACGGCGGCCTGGCTACCAACATTTGGTATGCAACCAGCTGGTACGAAAGAGGACGACGCGGCCCCGCCACCAGACTCGAGCACAGCGCCCCCATCCCGGCGCAATTGCTCATTATCTGCCCTTAACTGCGCTACCAAGTCTCTAAGTTGCTGCAATTCTTCCTCCATAATAAATTTTGACCCAAAAAAAAGAAAATTAAATCAGCAAGGTGCTAAAATCCTATTACTCTTCCTTCTACCTGGATACTGCTGTCTTGTCTATAATCACACTCTAAAACAAATAGAGCCTTCAAACAGGTGAACTAGACTCGTTGCAAAAAAATAAAACAATTTACAAAACCAAACATCTACCTCAAACGTGCATCCTGTCGACAACGCCAAGTATGTGACCAAGTGGTCTGCGGGGTTATGCACAAAATAAATAAACTTGACAACGCCACCTAGGGGAATTACACCCCCAGGAAATATATTTAAGAAAAATAAATAAAAGGAATAAAAGAAGACCGCACAGATTCAAGGATGCACACTGAGGCAGGTTGGCTTCCAATATTAAAACAGTTTTATTTATAGAAATAAATAAAATATTATAAATAATATTTTATAAATAAAATATTAAAAGTCAAGATGTAGCGTCATTATTGACAGTGTCCTACAGTAAAAATAAACAATCGTGGAACTTGGACTTACCAGCAGCCGTGGAACCAAAAGAAAATCACACCAAAAGAATCACTGCAGACCACCCAGTGCTGTACAAAAGAAAGTGTGAAAACGACCCACCACCTGAGGTCCCAGGGCCACTGGCTCGTCCTCCTTCACTGAAATAAAACACAGAAAAGTATGTTAAAAGAATAAAAGGACACTGAGCGTCAGGCTCGCTACAAATCATAAAAAGACTAAAACACACTTTAATAAAAGAAAACACACACACACACACACACACACGGGAAAGGCTTATTCCCCACGGGTCAACCTACCACTCGTGCTGGTAATAATTATTCTCAGGCGTAGGCCGGTCTGGCTCCCCACCGGCTGAGACCGGCCACCCAGGCGATTTAGAGTCCCAGCACGACACTCGGGCAGAGAATCACTTCAGCCCGATCACAGAAGTGTGGGTACGAGCAACAGTCCAGGGTAAAATAGAACACCAGGCGAACCCAAAAAAAGGTAAGCCTACTTAATAAAACAAGATAAGACAAAACGAGACAAGACAGCAGACTCCACCAAGGAGGAGTTCACAACAGCAACTGAGAAGGCAGTCCACTCTTCCAATTTAGGTTGGACAATTTACCATGGAGAGGTGAGTACAGCAGTGAACCCTGAAACAGATAAGTGTAACCTTAAACTCTTATAGCTATGAATGCTAATAAAAGTAGTTCTAACAGCTTACCCCAGGACCGGAGGCACTATACTCTCATTGGTGGAGATACCACGAACACCTCTCTCCGCAATGGCAGAATTAAACAGACTGCTGCGCTACAACAGGCCGGAAAAGGATATTAACACCAATTCCAGTATTCGGAGGGAATCCAAGGTTAAGCGAGAGCATACCTGTAGCTGTTGTATAATCGGCTCTTGCTGATCAATCCGTCGCAGTACGCCAGCATTTACTGCTGTATCGTACCAGAAGCTCGGGAGGAATTAATCCAACAAGACATCGGCTTAGCTTTATACAGGCTAGCGCCACCCTGCAATCAATGTGCAGGTGGGTTCCCAATTAACCCGATCACCTGATACAAGGAGCGAGTGCAGCGGAAAGAGAGCGAGGGTGGTAGAGCGAGCGAGCGAGAGAGAATGAGAGAAGAAAAAAAACGGAAGGCGAGTAGCCCATCTGGCTACATCTGATATGGAGACATTTCATGCTTGAGGTTCTTCAAAGAGCTGACAGTGCAGACATGTATGAACAATAAGACTGCAGACTGTTCAAAGGTAGGTCTACTATGCAGAAAAGCATAAACATTACTGTGACCTCTGTCTTATCTGTAGCAGAGGCAAAGCAATATAAACAAGAAGAAGGTTGGCTAACATAAGCATTTGATCCTGATATTTGTTAAACTGACCTTAAGTGGCAGCAGACAAGATTCAAGATTATTTATTTGTCACCTGCATACGAGTACAACACACAGTGAAAGATAGCCTGACATGCTCCTCGACTGTGCAAAGAAGGAGAGAACCAGTACAACAGTCAGGAGCCTTCAGCTGCACTAGCTATTCATAAAATGACTCTCTCCATTTTCAGATGCACTTGTTTAAACTAGCTTGGTCAGTCTGATTGATGAGTTTTCAAGATGACCTTGAGTGTTTTGAATGGTGCCTAAAACAAAAAACAGGCTAATGTGCAAAGCTTTGCATAGCACAATGCTAGAACCTGAAATAAACAGATACACAAAACAAACGAGCATACTGTATACGATTTTGCACACAAAGAGAGGCTCCCTGAACCTAAACAGCTACACAGCAATGTGCAGCACCATGCAGGACCCTCTGGTATGTGTCTAGTTGGTCAGGGCTTCATCCTACAGCAGGATAATGACCCAAAGCATCAGTGCAAGCTGTGTCAGAACCACCTCAGGAACAAAGAACAGGGTGGTGAGCTTGAAAACATGGAGGTCCAGCACAGTCTCCAGACTTAAACCCCATCGAGCTGCTTTGGGATGAACTGGACAGAAGAGTGAAAGCAAAGCAACTACAAGGTCCACATTTATGGGAACTTGTGCTGCAGATATGGGAAGAATTTTGGCAGATATAACAGCTGAACACAGCCGTGTTTCTACAATAGAAATCAAATATTGGTCACAAAGGTGGCTACTCTGCTTAGACTGCTGCCCCCGCGACCCGGCCTCGGATAAAGCGGATGGAGATGGATGGATGGATGGATGGTGGCTACTTTGATGAGTTAATGAATTCTTTTTTTGTTTCAACTCCAATTGGTTATTTGTACTATGCTTTCATTTCAGAGTGCAATGAGACATTAAACTGGATAGTTTTCAATAACAAACTGGACCGGTAGTGTATAAAATGATAGATATATGTCTGTGTGTGCTAAACTTGTTGGTTTGTTACTCAACCTCGTCTTCTTTAATGTCTCCACAGCCACGGGAAGCCCCTGACGACTCTCACAGCCTCTCTGCAGCAATGGACTCAGAGGAGAGGGGCTTTGGTACGGTTTCCCTGAAGTGGTGTGAGCAAAGCACAGGAGATGGGGAAACATTTGAGTACTTTGACTCCTGCTCATGGCACAGTGACATCCTGTCAGATTTTAGTGGAGAAGGAGAGGATTCTGTGGACGCTTTGCTGCGACTGGAGGATGCCTACATTTTTCGACAAACAATGGGAGTCAGCGTCTGCAGTGGGCACACTAAGGCTCGACGCAGAGAATCAGTATCAGCAAAGGACAGCCACCGAGATGTCACAGAGACTTATGTCAAACCATCTACTTACAGCATGAAAAAAGGACCAGAAAACTGTGTGGCACCAAATCTTCCTTTGAAACTCATCAAAAAAGACCTTTTTTCAGTTGAGATCCAACCCCATTTAAACACAGAGAAACTAAAAGAGCAGTGCAGTTTACAAACTGTTGTTACAGGCGGCACAGAGCCATGCAGTCTGCATATTCAAAAGCAACACAAAACGGAGACATTTGATGCAAAGGTAAACACTTCAGACACTCAAGTAGTGAAGTTGCTTGTACAACCTGAGGACAACAGTGGGGACAGACTGAATAGAGACTAGGAAACACAGGACAGTACTGTGGAGACACAGCAGCAGCATTGTGCACATGAAAACAAGACACATTCACAGATTTAAGAAGAAGAGAGAAGGCATGTGGAGTAAAATTAGAAACATGTAACGTTGAGCATGTAGAAGTACAAAATCCTGACCTGCTCAGCACTTATGTGTAAATAACACTTCCTCTTATTCTAAACAGGGAAAACATTTACAGGTTCAATCAGTGTCAAATACAATGTGGAAAAATGCACAGTGAAGACAAAACAGACTTACGTGAGAGTGATATAACATGCATGATAAAAACAAGGGTAATAATACCGATGCAGCAGTTCCTACCTTCAGAGATATCAGAAATATGCAAACGTGTGACAGTATTTCTACATCACCACACTCGCACAGAATCCAAACACCATAGAAGAACACGGCACAAAGACAGTTCATGCATCACAGAAGCTGATATATGCACCCAATCCATAATTAACTGTATTTGCACGTAAGGTGGATATTTGCTGTTCACAAACTCTGTTTGAAGAGATCCCCAGCAAGTAACTGTCAGAGAGCCACCCTTCGGTTTGTGCTACTGCACCAGAGCCCCAGGCTTGGGTGCTGGGTGGACTTTGAGTGTGTAAGCACTGCAATAGAGGCAATGATCTTGCATGATTTTTTTCTTCTATCCTTTTTCCATAGAGACCACAGCCTGCTTTCCTTCTGATACCTGCCCTCTAAGGTGTCTGTAGCCCCGTCAAGGTGGCTCTTCTATGTCGTGCTATACATTTATGGATGTTTGGTTTCTCCGATGTACAAGTCTAAGCACTCCTCACTGCACTGCAGAGCATACACTGTTGCTTAGTTTGCGTTTGGGAAATCTGTCCTGGCCAGTTGTTGCCTGAGTGTGTGGCTGGGTCTGATGTGCTCTGGGATGTCGTGCTTGGAGAAGATTCTCCCGAGTTTCTCTGACAAAGCTGCTACATAAGGGATGACAGTGTTGTTCCATTTGTCATTCTGTTTCTCACTAGTTGGTGTCCGACCTCCTTTCGTGTGCATCTTTGCACAGTTGGGGTTGTTGTGAAAATTCAGTGCATTTGCTCCAGGCCCAGGAGTGTCAACAGCGCCTGTACAACACAGGACTCAGGGAATTTTACTGGGAGAAAAAAATGCTTGTATTACTCCCTTCAAGTTCAAAGTTGCTCACCGAGTGGCAAGGACCCTTTGTGGTCACACGGTGAGTGGGCAACGTTGACTATGAAGTGGTACGGTCACACAGCTATATCACCTCAAAGTCCTAAAAGCATGGAGAGAGGCTGAAACTGCATCTCTGGTGAGCCTGGTTAAGGAGATATATGAGCTGGGGCCGGTGGTGCCAAATTCCACCACTGCTGCCTCCCTCCGTTGTAATAACCATTTTACACAGGCCCAGAGAGCAGGTGTTGCTGCACTGCAACAGTCGTTTGCTGATGTGTTCAGCAAACGGCTGATAAAAAGCTTTGTATGAGCACAGTGAGTGTTGCAAATACTGACTGGGGTTAGAAGTGGAGCTGAAACCCAGCTCGCAATGTTGGATCTGCTGCCTGCGTATTGTAGGATCTACCTTACTGTCAGGGCTCGGCCGTCACAGCCGAGTGACGGATGTTGCACAGTTCTTCAACTAATAATCTAAGGCGCTTGGACAGAAAGCAACTGGACTTCTTTAAGTTTCTTGAAGATGTGCTTTCTTCCATTTGTGCAATACTTTCTTTCCCGAGGTGGCCAAAGTGCTTGCACAAAAGGGGTCATATGATTGTCTTTGTATTATTGTAGGGTCTTTAGCTTTCAACATAAAGTGCCTTGAGACAGCTGTTGTTATGATTTGGCGCTATATGAATAAAATGGAACTGAATTGAATTTAACTAGGGAGCCCACGACACATCCATGTTTTCATCTGTTGTATTATAAATATGTGATGGGGAGGCAGAGGTCTGGTGTGCAAATGTGATCGGGGTAAAGCTGGTTCTGTTTTGTAAAGAGATGTCTGCTGTAGTCATTTTCTGACAGTCTTCACTTGTACAATACCTAAAACCAAGGCAGTGAAAAGTGAGACTACAACAAAAGACACTATTCAAATACTCATGCAGGTGGGAGAGGCTTTTGAGGTTGTGTATTGGCTGCAAAGCAGTGATAGAAAATGTCTTTGAAACACTTTAATAATGAAAATAATCATTTAATAACCCAGGGATGACATATGCAAAGAAAAGAGAATTGGTCCAAGCATTAAACCCTGAGGGACTCCATAATTATTAGCCCCCTTATGAAAATGATGCATTTCTGAAGTATTTCCTAAGCACTGTTAAACAGAGTCACGAGTTTTTCACACACGCATGCACGCATGCAATTAATTAACTGTTTTTTTCATGCCAATATATATCACAAACACATGTATACAAATGAAGACCATGATAGCGTGCATGCAAGAAGTGGCAGAATGAGGAGCCCTAAAAAGTAGTCATCAAGATCCACTTATTTCCAAAGTGGATATTTTTTTAAACAAAAAGGAATACATTTATTTCACAAAAATCCCCAAACTGACAGGCCCTCCTGATGATAGTTGTGTGTCCTTTGGTGGGATTCAACCTGGGACCAGTCGATAAGCTTCCCTTTGGTCTTCTGGAGACAGCTGTTCACCAGGAAGGACGTGTGTTTTAGTTGTTGTGTTAGTAAAAAACACAACCTTCCAGGGATGGTTTTATAAGCAAAGGAATGACAGCAGCTGTTTAAAGCTATCTCCAACCCGATTATAGAGACTGATTGATACTGGAGAGGAGCCAGAGGTAGATGACAAGGAGAACC